AGTGGAAGATGAAGCTTACAAGAAGTAATTTGAGACTAGTTTTTATAATGTAAAAATATAAAATGTTTTGGGGTTAATTACTTTATAAGTGTATTTGTGGAATGGTTTGTCTGATGATGTAGTGTGCACTATTGAATTTATTTATCTTATTGAATCTTTTTTTTTTTTTACAAATACACAGACTTACAAAACTAAATTTAACTTATTATTAATTCTTCTTCTTTAATAGTTACCAGAGAATGAAGTGTGACCTTCAGAAATCAAATTAACCTTTTAACACATTATTTTTCTTTGTTGTTCTAACATTCACCAGTGCCATATGAAGATATGATAAATATTAAATGCTTAGAAATATACCAAGAACTTAACATGTTCTATTCACCAAAGGTATTTGGAGTGATAACTTCATAACATTTTAAAGGAACAGAAAGGACCTTATTAGCCCATCAAGGATGACCCTTCCAGCTCCCAACTATAACCACCCCTTAACGATCACACTAAATCGATTTTTTTTTTGTATAATAACACAAATTTTCTTTCACACGTGAAATAAGGCCTTTCAAGTTCCTATACCCCATGTGCACATCTTTATACTTCATGGTATTAAACTAATTTTAGTAAAATCAGATTTTTCCAACCTTAGTATCATTTGTTTACAATATTACTGTCAGTAGCTTTCTAGAACTTAAATTTAAAACTCCTTAAAAAACAACAAACTTAAAACATTTTCTAGTTGCTTAACCTGTTTCTTTCACTCTCTGCCATTTTCCCTAAGTCAAACTGTACAAATAAACTGCAATGAATTACTCTGAGCTTCTTGAACACAACAGCTTAACTGACTCTTTAAATCTATTTTCTCTAGAGTGAAGAAGATCTAGAAGTTGCTTGATTGATTCAGATGTTTAGAATAACAGTTAGGAACTTTAAAAAAAATCTGCCTTTGGGTGGTCTTCTTGAGTGGTGGAAGAAAAACGTTTGAAGTACAAACTCGGGTAATAGGTTTAAGCTTTGAAAACCCATTAATATTGACTTGTTCTTTGATTTAATTAGTTTTAGCAACAATTATAAACTTGTGAAACTACAAAGCATGGTTACATATTAAACCTCACAAATGTATATATTGTGAGAAATTAAATATTTATTATTTCTCCCTTCAGATGCCGGCATCTGTCTGTTGGCACAATCATTACACATCATATCAATTATTACACATTATATCAATTATTACACATCATATCAATTATTACATTACACACATACATACCTTCTATTAGTAATAACTTATAATTTTCTTACTTACATTTTGTGCAATCACCTTGTCTAAGTTTAAATTATAATGTATGATGTAACTTGGCACTCACACGCTTCGTACAAGGTGTTTATTGTTGATTAGCTTGTTATTCACCCCATGTGACACCATGGTGCTTATCATTGATTGGTTTGTGACATAAGTGTTATGTTAGTAACTATAATATATGTGACATCAATGTCTGCTGAGCTGTGGTACATAAATACTTAACTGACAAGTTAAGAGAAGTTAGGGTTAGTAGTTTTTCATTACTATCACTCCTACAGTTACTACTATGTAGGTTTTAATGTACTGGTGCCTAATTGGATTCACCACTCAGCATATAAATATTACCTGTCCCATATTTAAGAATTGTCTTTATGCATTAATAAACAGTTTCTGGGATTACTCGTTATCAAGCTAGTTGAAACTGTTGTTGATGAGTTGTTAGTTGTACATGGGTGCAGAACAAAATTTTTTACAGTATAAAATACCTTACCTTTTTATATATACCTCAATGAAGCACTACATTTATTTTTTGTGGGTGAGGGGTGTTCATGAGGTGCTGAATATTCTTCTACCACCTCAATTTTTCTTATGTTTCTTAAATGTATTCTAGATCTTACAAATTTTCTTCACAATGCAGCAGTATATATATATGCAGAGTTTGAGTAATTCCTAATAGTTGTGGGCTTGACTGCGATTTTCAGAACAATACATATCCTTCTCTCATAGAGAACTCATACAGAGGTTTATCGATAGAAATAATTGTGTGCCCTTTAGGTACTACTTCCTTAGATTGGATGTTGGAATGAGCTACCAATCAGATTCAAAGATTAACTGAAAGATCATGGGCAAGCTCAGGGCAACAGTTAGGCTGTTGGAACCTATGGGATAGTTTTCAGGGTAATGAAGAATTAAATGCTACAGAAGGGCTACATTTTAGCAGGTTAAGTAGTTGGTTGTTTAGGGAAAGCTGTGGAAGAGAGGAGTTTAGAAAAAGGAAATTCAGACCATAAAAGGTTAAACAACAGTTTTAAAGACACGTCTGTTAGATTTAATATTAAATATAATAGGACCAGGAATAAATTTAATTGCTACTATTCTAATTTTAGCAAACTATAACATTTAACGATAGCAAAGGGCCTGTGGTCCATTGAGGTGTTTCATCCACTTAAAAAATACAAACACAAATGCAGTCCTGATCATTTAAATATCAATCAAGCAAGCATTCCCTTAAACTTAATGCCTCCATTACATATGATGGTAACAAATTCCAATAGCCAATCATCCTGCTTGAAAAGCAAAAATGTCTTAGCTGAAGATAACTCCTACCCTGCCAAAATTTGTTATTATGTCCCCTTCTACTACCATTATGTATGAAAAAAGATGATGCATCAACACTAACAATTCCATTAACAATCTTAAACTTTCTTCCCAGATATCATCTAAGTAGCTTTCTTTTGAACCTTTTACAAAAATTCAATGTCCTTTATAAGGTAAGAGGCCCAAAACTGAAGACAGTACTCAAAATGAGGTTTAATTATTGACCTATACAATGAAATGATAATCTCTTTAGAATTCAATCTTTGCAGTAAATACAACTCCAAATCCTACTTGCCCTACCAGTAGCAAGAGCACACACAAACAAAATACCAAGGTCCCTTTTTTTCCACAAATGCCCAGAATACTGTTTAGGTTTAGGTTATTTCCATTAAAATTATAGTGATTTATTATAGTATTTTGCATTCATTATAATTAAAAGTCATCTGCTAGTTATTTGCCCAACTCATCCAATAATCTATATCCATTTGTAAATTATCAGCTTTCTCCCAACAGTCAGTAACAACCAGGGCTTTAAATCACATTAGGAGTAAAAGAAACAAAACAGATGTGTTCAGGACTCCAATTTTAATGGAAGACTATGATATAATGGGAATTTGGTTAGACTTTGAGAATACTAGAAACAGGAATTATTTTTAAATTCCAAGCTTACAGGATAAAGGTATCTAATTTTTTTGTTCTATATTCTGAAGTTAACAGGACAAGAGTACACAAAGATAAGATTTATAAAGATGGGTTAGTGTGAAATAGTTATATTTTTCTAATAGGGTCATTAATGTTTGGAATGAGCTGTTAGAAGTAGTGGACACAACCTCCTTAAAAAGAGTTTAAGAAAAGTAATCAATATTTTCCTGAAAACATAAAGAGTGGGTTTGATTATTTATTTTTCTTAGGGGTGGTCATGCTGAGACAGCCTAAAGAGACCAAATGTTGTTATATGCCATAGCAAACTCAACAGTTATGAATTATGGGTATAATATTCAATACATACATAAGACACTATTATCAATTTCAAGAAATAAATCATTTACAACTAATTACAAAGTATACCAATAATGAAAACAGTTTAGCATTTAATGCATTTCATACTTCAAACTTTCTGAAGTAAATCTAATATGCTAGTGATTTTAGATGGAAATTACTCTGTAGAAAAAAAAAGAAGACATCTTTTGCTTTTATTCAACCATAGTAAGTACAATAGATTGGAGGAATTATTACTTTTATTTAAAAATCAGAACACAATTCATATTACTAAATACAATGTACAAACGCTTGTAGTAGCTTGCTTCCTGACATCACTAACACGTTTCCCTAATGTTGACTTTGAAAATACGGCTCTTCTGGATGAAAGATTTTGTTTTTATTGTTATTTATTTTTATTGTATCTTACCTTTATCTTTACATGACATGCAGATGAAGTGATGTCTACAAGTTGATTGAAACTATTCTAATTGTATGTTTCACTCTTTAATTACAAAATACATTCTTACCAAAACTTAAAGTTAATCTGACCATACCAAAGTCTAATGTGCAGAATATCATTATTTATACATTCAAACATACATTTAAGATTCAATATCTATGCTTTTTTGCCTAAATCTGAATCTTGAAAAACATTTCATGGCAAAATAAAGCCAGGGACTAAGGTATTTATAAAGTATATTGTTCATCACAAGTAAAAATAGTACAAATATATAAAATATATCATCTTGAATTATAAACTTAATTATTGTCATTTGTTTCCACAGCATAAAACTCAGAGCTCTCACTACAAAAGAATTGGTAAAATGCCATAAAAAATAATTAATAACACCATTGCATGCAGGTACCAACTAGTAAGTCAAGGATTCAACTAAATTTTCATGATTTTGCTAGTACTACTATATAAAAATAATTTTACAAAGGTTTGTTATGTTTCTATGTTATATGAATATGAGAATCTCATCATGACACAAGAAGGGAAGAATCAGTACAATAAAAAAAATACAACACATTTCAGACTAATTTAATTATCTTCATTTCATTTTGTGTCTACTCGATATTACTTAGGAGTGCCCAAAGACGCCCAAGGCAGAAGGCGCACATGCCCCCATTTTTGTACAGTTAGTGTAATACTGCAAATACACTATTTTTAACAACTACTTTAGATTTACACAGATTTCTTCTTTGCCCCACCCCACTTTCCAATTAAGTTAGGCACTCTTACTCCAAGTAATGGCAAAGGGACATTTTTTTTTATAGTTGAGATTTTACTATTTCAGTTGGAAACTAATGGTGCTATGAGTTAGAGTGACTTTTTACAACTTTTTATTTTTAATGTTAAAGAAAACATTGGTATGATTTTAACTTTAATTGCTTTTCTTTTTACCTTCCAACCATTCCCTGCTTCTCTGTAGTACGGAAAGTTTGTACATATCCATGAATAAATTTCACTCAGAGTCATCTTTTTCTTAGGTGAACTATTTATGGCGAATGATATCAAGTTTGCATAGCTATAAGGTGGTTTTCCATCCTTCTGACTAGAATCTTTAGTTGTTGAAGAAACTGAACAGTCGGAACAATTCTGATTCTTACTACAAGTACAACACAACGTGTTATTTTTATTATCACAACTGACGCAAGAAGTATGCTCTCCTTTCAAAGTTCCTTGGACATTTAACCTTGGTAACCAATCCATGGATGTTAAACTTTTATCTAATTCCGACGTCATTTTATGATTCACTTACTTTTTATCACCAAATCAACAGCAGTTGTACAGCTTTTAAGAAAACAGTACAAAACAACACGATAAACCCGATCTTAACGAGTTCATATCGCGCCACAAAAACACGTTCATCAATAGCATTTACCTCACATCATTCGATAACTAACCATCGTGGAGAAAAGTGAGATGGTTTACTAGAGCCCTTAACATCTCTATTGCACCTTGGTGCCACCTACTGGTATAACGCTTGAATGTCATTGTTAGTAGCGCCCTCTCGTGCATATAAATCAAACGAATTATGTTTTACCAACATTTGTTATTATTATTTGTGATAAGTTTTTAATATAACGTAAACTTCACAACGCTACACAAATTCGCATTTATAAAAACAAAATTACACAAAACGAGAAGTTTCATATCAAATATATATATATAACATATTTATATATATTTATAAGTAAAGTATTTATTGCATATAGTAATTTGCGTGTGTGTGTGTGTGTGTGTGAGGGGGGTTGGAGTTATTTTGTTAGTGTGTTTTAAGTCCAGTTTCAGCTATATATATAAATCGGAACGATTATTACATTGTATTTTGTATATGGTTCTTGGTTGTGGAGGTTCGTCGTATAGTTTTCTTTACGCTTGTCTGATTTTTGCTCCTGGGGTTAACACAAACCTTGTGTGAATACTTATGTCGTATTTGTGTATTAAGTTGTTGCCAGAATTCCTTAAGTGGAATGCTTAGGATATCAATGAATGGAATCGTGCCAGCGATTATTTCACTAGGTTGTTTTTGTGTATTATTGTTTTCAGTGGTGTTGAGTTGATCAGGACTTTAATTAACTATGTTATGAAATTGCCTTGTTATTTGATGAACTGTTGTAATGGAAAACTTGTTAGGGCCTGTAAAAGATTTGGTTAAATATGTTTAAAGATGGAATTTCATTGTTCTGTGTTGCACTTGAAAATTATCACACTAGTGGTCGAAACATTGTACGTATTCTAACATACTAAAATTTCCAACTGTCTGCTACGAGCTGTAAATAAATTTAAAATATTTATTGTTTGATATTTAATCATTTAATGTGAGTAAGGTTATTGTTGTTTAAGCAAAACCATATTAAACGATTTGCTATCTTCACTACGAGGGAATCGAACCCCGAATTTTAACGTTGTAAGTTCATAGACTTGCCGCTGTCTCACACGGTTGACAATGTAAGAAAATGCTTCTTTGATTCTATTACTTATTTCATTCACTATTTATTAATTTTAATTTAAAAATTCTGTGCTTCATATTTTGTTTGTTGACTAACCTGGTATATATGATGGTGAAAAGTTGTAAATTACTCACATCATGATATGCAAATAGTTTATTGTTTACTGAATTTTGCGCAAAGCTACTCGAGAGCTATTTACCCTGACGTCTCCAATTTTGAAGTGAGTAAAGGGAAGCAAGTTAGTGAACATCATCTACTACTACTCTAAACAAATAGTGAGATTTGATCGTCATTCTTAAGACACACGCACACATCTACAAAGAGCAGAACGAGTCTTTCTTTTTTTTTGGCGGTAACTGGGTGTGAATAACTGGGCCGCGCTCTCTCTGATAGGAAAACTGTTCCTCCAATTGAATGTTGTTACAAAACGTCGACCGACCGCATAAAGATATTTGGTTTGAATTTCGTGCAAAGCTACACGAGGGCTATCTGCGCTAGCTGTCCCTAATTTAGCAGTGAAAAACTAGTGGGAAGGCAGTTAGTTATCACCACCCACCGCCAACTCTTGGGCTACTCTTTTCCAACGAATAGTGGGATTGACCGTCACATTATAACGTTCCCACGGTTGAAAGAGCGAGCATGTTTGGTGGGACGGAGATTCGAACCCGCGACCCTCAGATTGCGAATCGAACGCCCTAACCACCTGGCCATGCCGGGCCACGACCGCATAAACAAGAGAAGCGACCGCTTGGATTCTTGCGCTATTCTAAACAAGCATCTAAAATAGTATTTATTTTGCTATCGCACTTGTTTAATCCTTTAAACTAATAATTAGTCGCCTAAATTGCGCCCATTAGTGGACTGCGTGATATATTTGAAATATCGTAGTTGCTTAAGCCGGAACACTAATGTTACAACTTGAAACTTAGACACACAAATTAATTATTGGTGTATTAGATGTACTTGCGCAGGGTTCCAGAAAGTTCTGTTTCAAGAGTAAAAAAAAAAGTCAAAATTAAGAGTAACAAATATTTTTATTTCTTGCTTTTGAAGTTCATATGTGTCGTTCCCCAGTGTGGCAAAGCGGTATGTCTGCGGATTTATACCGCTAGAAACCGAGTTTCGATACTCGTGGTAGACATAACCCAGATAGCCCATCGTGTAGCTTTGTGCTTAATAACAAACAAACATATGTCAAGCTTTGTGTAGCCTATAGAGTGCATAATTCGTCTCGTGATTCAAGGCATGCGCACGTTTTTACTAACGTT